GTCCCAGACAAAGAATAAAGCTTGCTTTATCAGTCAGTCTTAGAATAACACCAACCTTGCTCATTCAGTACAAGATTTTGAATTATGTTCTGGGTCAATAAGATGTGTCTGAAAGCATGCACTGGTATGAAAACTCTCCGCTAAAAATAATTAACAAACAACAATATGATGATAAAACCCTGACAACATCATGTGAAAGCTATAGAGCTTGTGTAATGTCAAGGTTGCAGTAGTTTCTTCCAACAATCTGTAGGCAGAATGTTGATACTGGATGATTACACAGCTCTGTATTACATTAAAGGACCATGTTTTGTAAAATTTAATAAATCCTACAATACTGGTAGATAACACCAGCAGTTTGGTTAAGGTGGGATTAAGGTTAAGAAAACACCAATATTTAATTAAGGTTTAAAAAAGGCCTTCAAAACATTTTTTTCTGTATAATTGGTTGCATGTGAACAATTTCTAGGTGACAAATTAGACTTTTTTTATTGACACTGAGCACTGTATTGCTGAATTATCAAACGTACAGATAAAAGCTTATTTTTCACAAAGTAGTCAAATAAATGGCAGGAAACAGCTTCCGCTGCTTTTGTGCCGACACCAGCAGTAATAATTTCAAGAAGAGGGGCAAACTAGATTAAATCATAAAATCTTAACCGGCCTTAACATTTGGAAGTAATGTACAATCTGAGCATCAGGAAGTATAATTATTTTTTCTTTTAGTGCAAAGAATGAAAATACCTGTTTCAAGGGGACTCATTACTTTTTTTTAATAAACTGAGCACATCCACTTTAGAGCGTTTTTTAAGCTGGATGCCAACTCTGAATGTGGACCAGAGACACAGTTGTGTTGGCAGGGAGAACTAGGCCTGGATGATAGATGAAGCTGGAGGCAGTGTGCTGAGGAGCCTCTGACGTCTTCGAGACCCTTGCCTCTCCGTGTCCACTTTCCTTCCGACTCTCATCTCACTGCTCGTCTCCTCGTCTCTGATGCCTAATCTGTCTCCTCAGCAAGCACACTCTTTAGTTTATAGACCTTCACCCCACTCCTCCTCCTCCTCCTCCTTCCCTCGTTCGCGACACATCACTCTCCATTCTCTTCATGTCTCCTCTGCGGCCTAATTGATGGGTGAACACTAACAAGTTGCCCTCCCTCCATTTCTCCATCGTGTCCTGGTCCTGAAGGGCCTCTCTCTCTTGTGCTGCCCATCTCCTCATGCTACTCCCCCGCCCGCCCCATTCGCAGCTCTGTTCATTATTCATTAAGTTTCCCTTTGGATCCGGAGAGAGCAAAAGCATGGCTGAATTCATAGGCAGACTCAACAGCTGGCCCAAGGGTACCTGAGAAATGTGAATGTGTGTGCGGAAGAGAAGGAGGAAGAGAGAGAGGTAGAAAGAGAGTGATTGACTGACAGACTGACTAATTGACTGACAGAAACAAAAAGGGGGGGAGAAAAAGAAAGAGTGAGAGTAAAAGAATAAGAGTACCCTGCTGAGAAAGAGTTCAAAACAGTGTAACTGGGCTTTGAAACCAGAGCCGAGAGGTGCTGGTTGCAGGAGGTGATTGTATTTTGAAACCAAGAAATACTGAGAAGTGGTATGTACAGCAGGGCTAAAAGTACAAAGGGACTGAGACTGAGAATTTTAATGGGTTTAAAAACTAATGTTTTGTGGAAGACTGGATAAGTGTGTCATAAGATAATTCATCCAACCTAGATATTATGCAAGCGATTCTGAGCAAACCCCTGTCCTGATATGATATTTTCTACATGAGGATACCTAAGATGTGCTTTATTGCTCATGATGCCGTCATTATTCCATCATGTTTTCAAAACACTATCAATTTTTAGTCTAATTGTAGTCAGGTAAACAATGGTCATTCCTGTTGTACAATTTGACAGCTGACAAATATTTTTCATAACCATTGCAAAATAACCTCAGTTAACTGACATCTGAATTTATTTAGGTATGGTACATGTTTACAGAAGCAAGTAATGGTACTGAATATTGTGGCTGTGTTTGTATATTATATTTGGGGAAACATTTAGCTCGGAGAATAATACATCAACATTGATTTAGTTAGAACAGAAACATGTTAAGTGGAATTATAATGATATAATAGCAGTAAAACTGGATATTATTTTTCTGAAAAAATAGAGAGTAAGCAGAGCATTGGTTTTATTTGGTAAAGAATTTAAATTTAAGAGCTAGTTTAATGATAAGATGTGAAGAATGTCTGACATAGGGAGTTTTTTTAATTCTTAGTTGTGCCCAAGACGGTTTTATCTTTATAAAACATGTTGTTATGTATCACATCTTAATGTTTTGGCCTGCAGAAAAACAACATCTGTGCTGTTAAAAAACCAAGCTCGGCATTGTTTGTCCACACTACAGTTATGAGTCTGTGCATTCAGTCCCCGGTCAGATTATGGGCAGACACCGAACATCATCGAAATGCCCCAGGGGATCAGACCCTGTGACAGACTGTCAGTGACACCAGATGTGTGGACACTTGAGAAGCAAAGTGTTTTTCCAGATGCATCCATGGTTGCAGATATAGCTTTCAGAAAGCAGTGCAAAGCATTTCAAATCATGGTTCAAAATGAAACGTCATTCTTCGTCTATTGAACGCCTTAGTGCATAACTTATGTACCTCAAAGCAATAGCCGACTACTGGTGCACCCAGTTTTCTGTACACATAAGCTATGTACTGTTTAAGGTTTAAATCTAGTGGGATGAGTGGTAGCAAGGATTAATTATTATGTATTAGTTTGTTTACTTATCTTGGTTTTAGAAATTGTTTCATAAAAGCTTTAGATATCAGTGAATGGTAGTGAATGTTAATAGACAAAAGAAAAAATGTGTGTATATATACATACATACTAACCAATTACTAGAAAATGCCCAAATTAAAAACTCAAACATCCAACTGAAACAGACTAATGTATGTGCTCCTAGTGCCAGTAACATCCCTATGTCCTATGTCTTCATGAGTGTAACTTGGACCCAATAAAGAGCTTTTTGTCCTCAAAACACTTTCTGATAAAGTTGTGATGGAGCACTTGGACAAGCTTATTCCTTTTCTCTCAAAAGCCTAAAATAGTATGCAAAATTGTCTTCCTAGCAACTGAAGGCTACACATTTTTTTCTTTTAAGGCAAGGCCAGACAAGCAAATTAAACTTCATGAGTCTTCAGTATATTTTTCCTGAATTATACTGCTTAGATGTTGACCTCACCCTCCTAACTCTTATGAACCCACTGGAGTAATTGGTAGCTGTGCTTTGCTGATGGCGCTATTAAGATTCAAGGGGATGAAAGTAACATTCAACTCTTCATGGCTAAAAAAAAAAAATATCATTCAGAGAATGTAAAAAGCACTTGATGTTCTTAAAGAACATTAGATTGTTAGACTATTTATGACTGAATATGTTTAAGGCTTTTGAAATATAATCCATGATTTCCATCTTTGTTCAAAGCCGTTGGAAAAAGATAAATAAATCAACTGGCCACCTCCCAAAAAACATGGACGATGAATTCATCTTGGCCCAATTATTTTTTTACGAAAGTATGTTAATTACCTTTTTACCTTCTAAAAGATAGCCCAATCATCATTTCCCCTTCAAAAATAAACAAAATATACTTCTGTGTTCCATGTTTTTAGTAAATCGTCGCTTATTATTTCCCTATGGCCAAGTCCCTTATCTTTGCAAATCTTCATAATATGTTTAACCCTCTTCAGTCCCAGCAGGTTGCCCCCCCCCCCCTTGCATATGAACTGATAGGTGAATCTCTTGGTCAACATACTATAAAATCTCAGAAAAACAAGCTATTTGGTTGCAGCTGTTTTTCCACCAAATAAGATTTGGTTCTTGAACTGGTTCCTTTCAAGATTCTTGGAACCTTGGTGCTATCGAGCGAACCACCGTGCATTTCAATCAATGTAATCAAGGATGTGTCATTAACAGAGGGCGCTGCACAATACACAACAACCTGTAGAATATGACACACCCACTTTGGTTCCCAAGGAAAAACTGCTTTTTTTGGGTTCCAGTTGGGAACCAAATTAGTTTTTGGTCCAAACTGGGTGTGCAAAAACGAACAGAGCCAGTTCCCTGTTAGTGGGAAAGTCTTAAGTGTTGCTGTGGAGACCCATCCAACATACTGTAAAGAGTTACCTATGTTTTTTGTTTAAAACTTTTAAGAACTATACTATTATATCAACTATTTATTAATTTAAAAAAAACATAATGTTAACTTGGAAACTCAAAGAGAGACTTTCTAATGCACTTAATGGAAGTAGGACAGGAAAGGAAAGCATTTTTGGCATGGGGGTGCAGGGTTTTAAACACTTATTCCCACTTTTGCTGCTAAAAATGAGAGTTTTCTCATGCTTTTAAAATGAAAAACAATAACTTCATCACTTTGGTACTGATAGTATTTTGTTAGAAGAAAATTAGTATTTTATACCATTTCCACAAGGAAATGAAAACAGAATTATATTTAGATAAATTATCGAACACTGAGTAACTTTATAATGTTATTAACTGGTAAATCCTCACAATTAGCTGAAAACACACACACACATTGCACAGTTTTTCTTCACCCTTGAAGCTCCATCCCACTGGGACAGACAGGGAAGGCAGGGAGTGTCAGGCATTTTGTGTGTGTGTGTGTGTGTGTGAATGTTGGTGTGTGTGTGTGTAAGAAAATGAGATCAGGATAACGTATCGCTTCCTGATCACTATCTTCTATAATCACGTGTTAACAGAGAAAGAGAGGAGAAGAGGAGGAGAGGGAGATAATGGAGAGAGAGTTAGGGGAAAGCACCGGGAGGACGGTCCGAGTCTGATAGCCGTGGATTGATCTGAAAACCGACCAATCGGGCGCCTTCCTCGGCCTGAGCCGCCGCAGTAGCCGGGCAGGATTGGAGGATGCTTCCGAGGAGAGATGCGCGCACAAGCACCGGCTCGGCTCTCTCGTCCCGTCGCCTCACTCACACACACACATACGCACAAGGGGAGAAAGAGAGACTATCGGCTCTCCACAAGCCGTGCAGTCAAGCTCTGCTCTGGAGAGGATGAAAGCGACAGGAGGAGGTAACTGAAAGAGAGACGGAGGGAGGGAGGGAGAGAGAGAGAAATGAGGAACAAACTCAAACTCTTGCGTATTTTTCACCTTTAGTCAGCGGCCATGTGTGTTCAGGGGAGTGCGCACAGACAGGTAAGAGAGAGAAATAAGTTTGTGTGTGTTTTCTGTGTTAGAGTGTTAAGTTTTTGCATTTGCACCTGTGCGCGTGACTGCGTGTGGCGCGGGCGTGCGCCTCCGCCTATACCGTGTTGTTTGAAAGAGCTGGTTAATAGGAGTCTTGTGCGCGAGGGGCATGTGCGCGCACTCTTAAGCGGTGAGTTTGTTTTCTGTGTGCGCATTTGCAACTGAAATTTGGCACTATGAGCACACAAAAAGAGACGAAGGGGGGGAAATAAGTAGAGGAGTGCGCACTTTCAGTCCTTTTATGGCTATAGTGAGTGCACTTGGCTCTAGCGCGCCTCAGTCTTTCCTCCTGGGGTGTTGTTGCAGCGCATCGGTGTAGTTATGAATGATAGACAGGCTGCTGTAACAGAGTGGGAGTTGGAGGCTATCCGACGCCTCGGATGCGCGTGCCGCACCAGGGTAGCCAGACTGAAATTTACGCGCACTGCAGGAAACAGGAGTCCACTCATTGACTGCAGCCTTTCTATAAGTCGAGCCTTCTCCCCCTCCGCACCAGATCGCATCTCTCTGTAGCGGGAGAGAGTGTGTGTGTGTGTGTGTGTGTCTGTGAGGAGAGAGTGAGAGAGAGAGAAGAGAGAGAGGAGAGAGAGCGAGAGAGAGAAAATAAAAACTTAAAGACGCCTCAGTCATCTGAAACGCAGTGACAGCCTTGTGTGTAGAAAGATGCGTGCCAGATGCTTAGCTGTCTCTGTTAATGTTGCATTGATTGGCTTCTGGTGAGCAAAAGGGAGAATTGTATGGCTGCCAGACCTCAGTATTGCGTTTGTCTCGCAAGGTGATCACCTCTCTGGTGTGTTTGCAAATGTTTAGATGGAAAGTGTCATGTGATTCAGTGGCATGTTGTTCGCTATAGAGTGTGAAAAAAAAAGAGCTGTGGATGGTGCTTTTCCCTGAGTAGTTTACAGAATGGCTTTAATATAGGAACCATTTGGCTGCCATGGGCTCCGTGATGCAGACAACATGCAAATGTTACTAAAAAAAAAACAGTGCTGAGGAAGTTTTAATGATTTTTCCCCCCTTTAATTGGTGACTGGGGACATTTATAGCAGTTTATATCCTTATATTTTTGAGACAACTGGCCAATTCCTTGCTTATGTCCAGCATATTGTTTCAGAACAACCTTTACAATAATATAAACAGTAGAAAAGCAGCAAATCGTCAGATTTAAGGAACTCAATCTAGCAAATGTTTGGCATTTTTCTTGATACATGTCTTATTCAGTCATCAAAATTGTTCAGCCCAAGACTGAAGATCAAGAATATTGTGTTTTGCAAATATCATGCATATTAACATACAATATGTAATATGCATCACATAAGCTCGTGTGGCATACCCTGAAGGCATCAGCCATGCATCCAATCATGTTTTTCAGTGGTAATTTAGTACCATGTACAAGCCATTATCACTCACTTTTTCCACTGAATTAAGCATCACACCTAAAGCATTAACATAGGTGAGTCTTGTGAAATTGAAGGCCACAGCGCAGTAGGCTATATGTTAGCTTTAAAAGCATGCTGTCTATCATCACTTCCATGGACATTATTATAGCACAACGAGGCAGCTGACTAAGTTCCAAGGAAGCCTAATAGTTGGTGCTTGAATTTGAGATGTACTGGTAACTAAATTGCTCAATTTAATCTGACAAGTGGAACAGTCTGGAATTGCATGACTACATATGAAAAAAAAGCCCAACACCAGCAAAAAACAAAAAAACAAATCTTAGAGGAGCAGGAATAGGTAAACACCCTTACATATGAAGCTAATCAATCAGAAAAACCTCACATAGTTGGTAATGTTTACTTGTTAAGTGGCTGAAATGTTAAATTATAGAAATTGTGATAGATTTTGTTCTGTTTTTTAATTAAACAATCTCACCTCTACAGTTCTCCCAGAACAAATAATCATTTGACCTATGGGAAGTTTTGATTTCACACGGACTGATTTTGAGTTCCTTCAGAGACTTGTAGGTTCTCCTTCTACAACAAAGAAAAGTATTCCACTATAAACGGGTCAGCACCTGCCTGAAAGCAATCCAATGCGAACTGCAAATGTTCTAAAAGGATAAAAGTAGTCTCACTACCCTTATTAGAAACTCTTTGTTGATATAATAGTATGCCTGTTTGTCCAGCCTGGGGATGTTCCCTCGTTTGAAAAGGGCACTGATCTAATTACACCATTATTAATCTCACTGAAGGCAGCAACTCTGGAAAATGTCTGTTTCACTCACAAACAGACTGCAGAGCTTGAATGTGTGTGATGTCGACATCATGATTACAGCATAAAGACCAACCTGTATGTTAATCACTGGAATCTCTGATTTGACACCAGTTACAAAAATCGTACCCTGAAGTGTTGCGTCAACTCATGTGTAAACAATTGTGCAATTATCAGTCACTCATTATGGTATGTTTGCTGCAGAGAAGGCATCTTAAACAGTGTCTACTGCTCAGCATGGTGGCAAGTTGGTGGAAACACCATTCAGTAATTGTTTGTCAAACTAGGCTCAATGGATACACTTTAGCAATCACTGAAAGGTTTTGTGCTTAATAACATGCCACTACTGTTTGATTATGAAAGAAGTTTGCAGATTCAGGAAATAGTTTGCGGATTTTGTCTTCAATGCGTAAAATTGACACGTGTTCAGTTAACAAGAATTTAGGGCACTTCAATAATTTTACACATGAAGTAGTCTCTCTCTCTATATATATCATAGCTTTCCAAAGAGCTGTTGTGAAGCTCAGTGTGGTCAGCAATGGGAATCACCATGTTTGTAGTCCTGACTCCATAGCCTCCTGCCTAATCCAAAAGTGGGCAAGTGAGGTGGAGTGTGAGTGGTGCTGAGGCAGGCCGAATGAAGTCTGGTTACTGAAAAAACAAACAAAAAAACAGCCACCTGTGATGGCATTCACCTGTCACTCAAAGACCAAGACAAAATCAGTTTTTTTGACCATTATGTAAACGTATTTATTTCTGCTGTAAAGTTGGACATATAAATATGGGTTATTATAGAGGTGGACTCACTTCTTTATCCAGCCTCAAATGGTGATTCAAGAAACTGAAGCTAAAACTTAATTTGCCAGCCACGATGTGTCACGTTCAACACCGGCAAATAAAAAAATAAGAAAAATTAATGTTCCTGGCTATTCTAAGTACCAACGTCCAGAACATCATAGACGGAAAAGGGACAAAGTGTGTCCACCCAGGGTGCCATGTTTCCATCACTGTAGATTGGAGTTGGAGTTGGAGATATATACCCGTGATTAATGCAGTCATTTGTCCCTGAAATAAATGCAGATTGTACCCTTTCACACTGAAGACAAAAGCTAGATGTTAGTGGGTGCTTTCCACTGTGAAAGGGGCTTAACAGAAAGCTCTGCTGCAAACTATAGTTGTGGAGTTTGAACGACGTGGGTTTTTAGCAGTCGGGGAGGCTCTAACAAAAGATGCTATCAAATTGCATTATGGAAATTGTAGGAGCCAGTTTCTTTTTAGCTTGACCCATACTAAGAATTAAATGTCAGGACATCTCTGCGTCTGATGCTTGAATTTCTCTCAGAAGTCCCTGAACTTCGTGGAAGTTGAATACTAAATCGCTGGAGCAGCCCTCATTAGGAACCTACTCGTAACGCTTTATCTAAATCGTGCCAAATCAATCTTAAACGCATGCAAGATGCATCATGAGGTAATGGTCCATGCAGAAGTGGTTCACCCCAGGTGGCTATAGTGTGAGGGCCACCATTGTGTTTTCAATCATATCACCAGCAGACTGACAGGAAAAAGAACAGTGGATTATTGTTCCAACAGCACATTCAAAGGGTCATTCAGGAGATGAATCATACATTACTCCAACCATTAACAGTCTCTTCACAGATAGCGAACAGAAACTGGTCATTCACTGTCTAGTCTGCCAAGACTGACAACATAGGGGTTTTTCTGCAAGTAAGAATCACAGCTTTGAAAAGTGTTGATCAGTCTTGTCAGTGATGCCATTTCTAAATCCAGGAATGCAACAAGGTTAAAATAATCCCCTGCTTCGAATGCTGCAGTGTGCTGTTATTGTGTGGTTTACAAAGATAAATGATGGATGCATTTTGTCATTAGATTTCTTAGCAGACATTCTACTCTGATGGGAATGTAAACACACACACAAATAAGTTCTCACATTGAGCTTCAAACATGCAGGAAATGTATTTTGAATTCCTGGCAGAAGCAACTGTTTATTTGGAATAGGTTGAAGAGGAAATTGATAGCATGAGCAGGGCTGAGTGAGGGGAAACGCGAGTGCTACCTTGTTAACGTTATGTTATTAACAGAAAATAAAATACTGTTTTATTGACAAAAGTGTTTCCGAAAGATTTCTTTGCATGAGCTTTGCAACAGAAATCAAGCTATATCACATAAAAAAATCTCTCAGATTGTGACTCTCTATTGTTTGTTCAATCTACGGTGAAACAGCCTCTCAGACTTTATAAGACTGCCAGTGTTAACTAGGCACTGAAATAGACATTAACCAATTGCATCCTGAAAGACTTTTTGTTTTCCCATACAGCATCTCCTAGGGAATAGTATAAATTGATAAAACCTGCTGTGTCATGGCATTTAGGAACAACAGATCCAATGGTATGGACATTAAAGTCCAATTTTCTGCTGTCATTTATGATATTCTCCTCTGTGGACCATACCGTATGTTCCACATGACCTGGTGTCCAGTTAAACTGATTCCAGTAAAGATTTTCAGTTACATTGTTTTGAGTGAGCTACCTACATTGATCACACTGTGGCAAAGCGTGTCTGCTACTTATTATTGTCTCTTATCCAAATATCAATAAAATGCACTTGTCAAATCATATTTATCCAAATAGAAATTATTGACAGATATTCTGGTTTTCTAGCACCACGAACAGTATTGTCTAGCACCACGAACAGTATTGTCTTTCAATGGGGACATT